TTGTAAATTGAAGAAGTGCGAAGCTCGATTGGATGACAAATATGTTTTTTTACAAAAAGGGTTCAAAACTGTTTATTAGTGATTACCACACTTTACACACTAGTGAGTGATTACCACACTTTACATTGGGCCCGGGTTTGATCCAGAAAAAGCACGAAAAACTGCAAATTAGGCCTTATTTTAAAACACAAAAAATGCTTTACTAACCTGTGGAATAATGGTTAAGCCATTTCGCAAATCGTGCAGTCCTACTACTGAGGTATCGATATCGTCAATAAAAATCTTTCCGGAAACGGGTTCAATCATTCGAAAAAGTGCAAGCGCAAATGAGCTTTTCCCTAGTAATGTAGGTTTTTCGCATTTTATATCAAAACGAAGCTATTGTACCTGCTCCCGTTCTTCCTACAATTCCTATTTTCTCTCCTTCGTGTACATCAGCAGAGATTCCTTTCAAAACGAGGTCGAGACCATCTCGATATCTGAATCGTCGCAATGACTGCAGTAACTAAATCTGCGAAAATATACTGCTTGTCCCAGAGAAATGCACACCCTTTTCCGTTTTTGATAATATCTGTCTTCCTATCTATTTTCTCACTTTTCCTAACTCGTTACAACCACTACCTTTCTCGGAATCTCCAATTAAATTACGGAAGTCTTAAACAGTTGTGATTGCAACATATGCACCCTTTCCAGCAGTAAAAGAGATTGATGCGTGGGCCATATCAGCGCACATAGACCTTTATCAATGGTTTTTCCAATCATTAATTAAACATCTCCTGTAACTAACGTGTGCAGATTTAGGACCGTCTAAATAGAGACGTCTCATAAACTTCTGTGTCTATCAAATTCTCAAAATGTTAGAGAGAAAAAGAGGGTGCTTATCAACTATTACGAAGGTTTCACTGCACTTCTGCTGGGACAATATCTTTCGATCTAGAGTGAGAACCTAGTAGAGTAATCCAAAAACTTGACGGTGCCATGAGAGGGCCAACCGCTCGGTGGCTTACGTTCAGATTCCCACTGAGCCTAAAAACACTACACATTTTAAGGAAAAGAAAGTATGGACTTTATAACACGAATATCTGCATTTCACGTATAAATCTGAACCTCGGTTGGCGAGACAGTATACTCGTTTATTCGCTCCACTGCAACAATATTCGCTTCAATCTCGCTAATCTGGCGTACTCCAAAGTTTAGAACTTCAGTGATCTGCGACCAGTAAGAACTATGCAGCAACAATGGTTCATATAGTAAGTGCAACTCACAGTGAGAGCATATGTGATTGATACTCCAATAACTCCGGGATCGGTGACCCACCCTAATTCTCTTGAAATTACTGCGAAAAGAGCAGCAAAAAAAATCTAAGAACAGAGAGCAGTCAACAATGATTGGATTGTGCTTTCAAGTAAGTCACAAACCACTAAGTTTCCTACAAACTCCAGTCGAATGGCTAACCATCGATTTGCGGCTACATTCGAGTATCTACATTTGATGAAAGCATCGACAACTTTAGCAGACGCGTTGCGGAAATCTTCCACCTAATTTTCGGAGAGTAAAAGGCAAGAGAAAATCATCTCAACACACAGAGATTGAGATAAGGAAGTATAGAGAAGACACCTTGTTGAAAGCACGAATAGATATCGCCCCCTGGATAGTTTCGGCGAAGTGGGAATAAATGGGAGATCTATGAATACTTTCAAGTCGTTTGAGCTGGCGAGACGTTGGAACATAAAACCTCTATAAAAATCAACTAGAGTTTTCAAATTTCCATCAATGATTAGACTAAATGTTGCGCTTATCATTCACCAGAATAAAAAAGTAGGCGACACCTAGAGGTACTGCTGCAATCACGAAAATTGGTGTCGATATGGTGATAACTATCAGCGTGGCAAGCATCTGCAAAGATCACGTCATTTTCTGGACATGGAAGAGTCAAAGCGAAAAGAGTTTACCTGTAGCACACATTCGCCAAGATATCGGAAGTTTAATGGAAGAAGCACGTCCACAACTTCTACATCCTAAACTTATTGTGCAGTTCTTGATAAAAGAAAGAGAGTCGTTATTCTGCCATGAAAGATGTATCACTTGGAGCGGCAGAAAAGCTTGTACGAACTCTTTTCGAGATGAATAAGATTCGAAGAAAACAGAAAGTTTCTGAAGAGAAGATTGCGTTGTAACGTATTGTTTATATTTTGAATTATAATGTTGATA